TGTCAAGGGGGGGGGGGGGGGGGGCATCTCTCCGCCTCTTGCGGTACATGATACAGCAGTAGTGGTTCCTCGGTAATGCCGTGCGTTTTGTGCTCGTCAGATTCACCGGTGCTACAGTACTGTACACCGGGCATCGGCACTCTGTGTAGCATTGGCCATGAGTAGTGTAGGGCCGGAACAAAACAAAGCTGAGGTGTAGAGTTGACACCTCTCAGTAGTGCTCGCACAGGCTTAGGGCTGGAGAACATTGGAACTGCTGTACATGCACACTGCAGCGCGTCACCTACTGCTGTGCCAATCAGTGCAAAAGTGAGAGGGTTGTAAAATCATTTGTTTGTGATATATGAACAAAGTGCAATTGATGCCGCTGCTGCACACACACGCGCAGTCTACCGTAGTAGATGACACAAGATACCACACACCCCGGGCCGATTCTCGATTACTCCAAAGCAGAGACACCGCCGGTGCCAAAAATGGCGGCGTTGGAACAGTCTCGTCGAGAGCTTTCCAACCAAGTATCGCTTGGTTGCGACATCCTGTTCGTGGAATATTCGAGCTTTGAAAATCGACACCCCCGGGGGGGGGCGGGGGGGTATCTTGTGTCACCTACAGGTATCCAAATCTCTACATTTTTCTTCGCGCTCTCCTCCCACTCCCTGTTACCCTGTCGACGCTCGTGCGCTCCATCCATTATTTAGCTGTCGTTCTAGGGGTATACAGTAGCACACGAATGCGCATACAGCGACTTAAGTACTGGTGTAGCGTGAGTACCTGGAATGATCCGCAGAACAGTGCTGGGGAAAAGTTGGACACGATCCGCGAGTACTCGAAGTATGAGCACGCTTCCCAGGGAGACCGGGAACTCGCTGTTGTTCGATTCCTTTCTTTGCCGTACTACCTCCGTCTTCGATCGCCATTTCGTTTATCTGCAGCTAGCTGCGCTGTGTGTGTGTGTGTGTGTGTGTGTGTGTGTGTGCATGTTTGTAATCACAAACGGCCCTGTCAAAACCGCAGTCGCCTCGAAACATGGCGCCAACCGCTAAAGCCCCAACAGCACCGTCCGCCATTTTCCCATCTACGGTAATACATAGTGAAAACTCGGCGCACATGCATTCGCTAGTCCCCCGGACAACAGCCCACAGCGGTTGCTATTACAATAGTCGCACTGAACCGTTGGCACTGCTGCTGCAGCTCTGTGAAGGAAACTCGTCCGTCCGCGTAGCTGACGAAATGGCCTCTTGTCATCCCTTTTTAGTGAGGGATAGGTGGAGCAAAACCAATCGAAACACATCTTGTTGAGTGTGGAGTCCGTTACTTAATAGGGGAGTGTCGTTTTATCGCCTTTGTTAGACACACAAGGGGAGCGAGAAGAAGTGGGCCCTCCATGGAACATTCGAGGGGGCTCCACACAAAGTAACCTTTCAAGTATACATACGCTCCTGTCCGCTTGTCCTCCGCTGTTGCCGATAGATCTAGCCAGCCCGTATCCAAACACACGAACAATTGTTGCCGCAGTTCAAGAGAGTTGCCGACGGAGAGACCGTGGGTCCATTTGCGCTTTACCGTAGGTAACATGACACAAGATACCGCACCCCTCGGGCCGATTTTTTCGAAGCTCGATTACTCCAAGGCGGAGACATCACCGGTGCCAAAAGTGGCCGCATTGGAACCGTCTCGTCGAGAGCTTTCCGACCGAGTATCGTTTGGTTGGGACATCCTCTTCGTCGTGGAATAATCGAGTTTCGAAAAGCGGCCCCGCGGGGGGGGGGGGCGGGGGAGGGGTACTCATAGTCGTGCATGCCGTAGTCGTTAGACCATTGACCTCGCATCCCGACAAAGTGGGGACGGAGCACGCCGAGTTCTCACCGGACCAGGCTCTCACATCACCATGCGCGAAGCACCATGAGGTGTTCGGCATCTTGTGCTTCCTTCCTCGCGTACGGATGACAGCTGCGTATGACTTAATTTATTTTCTGGTGCTTTCACTTCCAGAGACAGTCATGAGCACTGTGTAGCTGCCTCGAGGGTGCTTTACTAATTTACCACAACGTGGTGCGATCATTCCGTTTGCGGGGAGTGAGGGTTCTCGACCCCGCACAAAATGATCGACTCGACCTTGGGGGGGTATCTTGTGTCACGTACGGTACGAAATAGTTTGTGTTCACATCAGGGACACACACGATCGTCGATTACCTCTCATGTACAAGACTGACTCTTTGGTGACGTTTGAAGCACAACATGAGCCTAGTGCACATTAGAGGGGAACAATATCGTAGTAGGATTCGATCCTAAACCGAGCGGGCAAGAAAATGCCTGAGGGGTATTTCAGATTATTGGGCCATGGTTTCGAGACGAGCCCAGGGGGTTGGGTATTCACTTCTCATGTCGAATGGCGTTGAAAAGATGTGACAGCGTATGCGTGTGAGGCACGATATCGATACAAACACTTCCCTGCTGCATCCGTTTGTGTGTGTGTTTTGTTGCTCTCCTGGTTAGACCGCAATCGGCCGGCTGGACGCAAGCGTATCGCGAGATGTTATCGATGCGGAGGAGGTGTTCGAGATGATTCGGCATGTCAACGACCCTGAGCACCCGTTGACCCTCGAGCAGCTCAAGGTGGTCTCGGTGAGGAAGAAGGGAGCGACCTCTTTGCTGTCACAAATCCCAATATATGTTGGTATACCACAATGCTTATCCGTGCGTGGATCGATTTGTTCCAATAATTTGGATCCATGCGGTCTGAACGGAATTTTTTGCTGTGGTATTCTGACCCCTCTTCAAGGGCAAGCCCATGGTAACCTCTGCAATTGAGATCCAGCGCACAAGTGGTGTACAGTGGCGGCTGCGGTTTACGAGAGGTTGGTGACAAGCCAGTATTTCTCTCTTTTAATCCGGTTTTCTCGTGAACCGTACTGTGAAATGTACGTTTTTCTAATGGTCGCGACAAGCCAGTTTGACTCTCTTAAATCGGTACTTTCTCTTTAGTACTTTCTTAAACCGTAGCCGTTGCTGTAGGTGGCACACGAAGATCGCGTTATATCGCGACACGCACCACTGGGGGAAGGCCCCTGAAGTATTGTAATAATTTGGTAAATATACTAGTTTATTGTGTGCCATGGAATTTTTACCGCGATACCATATCGGGAACCGCGCTACTCGGGACAGTGGTAAATCGGGAACACCCAACACAGAGAATTAACTAGTGCTTGAGAGTGGTAATAGAGATTTTTTTTCATCCACAACAGAAAAGCTCCACCATCTGGAACCTGGCCTACGACGTTCAATGCACACGGTTCGCGGTCCCTAACGACATTGATGCTTGGCAGCGTTTGAAATATATATGATCTCTTCGGAGAATTTCGAAACGGGTAGGTCTGGCACAGGCGTGTGTTCTTGGATGGGAGATCTCGGAAGATGGAGGTATGTCTTGTGACTCCCCGTCCTTTGTAGTGCTCGAAATCATGTCTGTCTGTACAACGAAATTTCAACACGCAGTCGTGGGTCCGATGTGACGATATATGAGGGTGGTGTGACGAGTGGCCCTTGCGGCCCTCGTATATCGGAGCCCCCTTAAACACCGGAATAACAGGGTGCCTAACTACTATTGAGGGTCGAGTCCGTGACAACCGATTCGAAACACATATATCGGAGCCCCCCCTTAAACCGAAGAAAAGAGGGTACCCAATTATTCTATAGCGGGCCGAGTCCGTGACAACCAATTCGAAACACATATATCGGAGCCCCCTCTTATACCGGAGTAAAGAGGATACCCAATTATTCTATAGCGGCCGTGACAACCGATTTCGAACCACATATATCGGAGCCCCCTCTTATACCGGAATAAAGAGGATACCCAATTATTCTATAGCGGCCGTGACAACCGATTTCGAACCACATATATCGGAGACCCCTCTCAGTACGGACCCTTTTCTATCGGAGACACGACTACTGCTGTACGGCGCTTACCCAGAGCTGCCGATCCACCCAGGCTCCCATACTATATTCGCGGCGGTGGCTTAGTACGCGCTTTGCTGGAGTGGAAAAACGCGTTACCAAGTCAGCTACTTTTTGAGCGAAGCGAAAGGACAAGATGCGACTGTTACCACTCTTGAAACAGCTGCTCAAGCGATCGCTACTCACGAAGTTATGTTACTCCCTTGACCTCCCGCGGTAGGGATGAAAGCGACATTTTTACTTCTCGCTGATGTATTGCCTCCCTGAAGACTGAAACATAGAAAGTTTAACAAAACACCGACATGCGGAGACAACATCAAAACACCAAAGCTCGCGCTGGTTCTGCCCCCCCCGACGTTGCGCTACTGCTGTTGTGTATACCTAGTAGTCAAATTGTGCGTACCTCGCCCGTTTGCCCCTGGTGTTCGCAATACACGTCTTGGCGCACGGGGGACTTGCAGATTGGACCTGATGGTACAACTGTCGTCTTCTCATTGCATGATTTAGTCGACTGACGTGGCATCCCCAAAACTGAATATGAACAATAAATAAGACGCACTTTTTGGAAGCATTAGCATTTTATGTTTTCAACCGCACTGAGACTGACGTCTTCGCATTGGTCAGCCGGTTTGCGCGGTCGATGCAGATAACAAAAACACCCATGTACCGTGTACCGTATTTTAGAGTGCACGCATTCCTGTGGATCAATTTGTGTTCATAGAGCGTCAGTGCAGTTTTTGTTTTTTGTTTGAAGGAGGCTCGGGTAGCAGAAGCGATTATTGACTCTGATTTTTAACCGCTTTCAACCTCTTCTCTTGGGACCTATGCATACTGCCTGCGGTGTTTAATCGTTGACTTGGTCACCCCCCCCCCGCGCGCGCGCGCCTTTGAAACTTCGGTATTGCTTCTTCGGGGACGCTTCGGGCAGCGGGACGCTGTTACCGTGGATGATGCCAACAACACTGTGGTCATCCTATTCACGCCCACCATCCCGCACTGCAGGTTGGTGACACAGAGGGGAGCGTTAGCTAAAATCCACTTAGGAATCTGTTCATCCTTTGTGATGTTATTTATTTCGTTCGCTGCACCGTCGCGCCTATTTACGCCCCCTTGGGGGGCCAACGCAACAAGAATCACGGCTGGTTCAACGTCCTATTTTCGCGGAAGGGGATCATGCAAGTTCGTTCGTTTTGAGGGCAGTATAATCTGCGAATTTGCTTCTTTTTCAATATTTCGAGGTTTTTGGTTTAATGATTGGAATCTGTGACCACGGAAGGACGGCGTCGGCGTCAGTTGGACCAGTACTAAGGGTATTGGAAGCTTTTTTTTTTTTCTGTTGTGAAGCCAACAACAACAACGACATTGGTGCAGGTCAGGCGGTGGTGCGGCCGTGCGGAATTCAAACCGCGCCATGAACGGCATGGTTCCGCAAGTGTTTTACCTGTCGTCGCAGAGCTGTCCTCAACTGTTTTCGCTCTTCGTTGTCCGACATGAATCATCCAAAACGTTTTTCGCGTTTTTCCACCTGCCCCAGCGTACAGAAGCTGTAGATAAGAGAGCCTACTGCGCACCCTCATGATCACGCCAGAAGGAACTGTCCGTCAATGCGTGATTGCTACAACCGCCATGTAATTCCGCCTGAAATCTCACCCTCGTGGTACTTGTGTGCAACCTCACGCTTGCGCCAAGATCTATCTGTGCATGTATGATTATTTACCGCCATGTCATTCCGCCTGAAATCTCACACCCTCGTGGCTCCCGTGTGCGGTGCTTTTTCGGACCCCACAGCATGGCGACCCTGATCGGCCTTTGTATTCGCGTCAAGTTGCTTCGGTCGCTTCCTTCCCGGTTCAAGGTCAACGTTAGAATAGCTCCGGGCACCCACTCATCAGAAGAAGCAGGTACAGTAATTCGCGGTGGTCCCGACATACCGTACCGTGGTCCCGAGTAGTGCGGGTCCCGAGATACCGTGGTAAAAACCGCTTGTCACGGGACCTGGCTACCTTTATAGGTAAAGCCTGTATATATTCCCCAATCCTCAATAGTTCGGTGTGCAGATATACACTACCCCGGGGGGGGGGGTTAGCCTTTCACTACACCGGGGTATATCGAGATCCAACACTGTTTCATTAGTAGTATTTTTTTGCAGTAACATGATCCCTGGTTAACACTGTTGCTGCTGTGTCGTGGTTGCTGCTGTTGTTCTCAATACATTTACTTATCCATCGACTGCAGAAATGTAGCCCCATCTACGCGGTACTCCTGCCATATCAAACGCACGAGCTGCGCTGCCGCAGGTCTGCCGGCGCGCAACACCAACATGACGCATGATACCGCGCGACTCCCTATGCTAAGCACCCAGCGATACTCTTGCTCCGCGTGAATCGCTTTTGAAACTCGCCGAAACAATACAGCATGACAACACCTACAGATATGCGAACGAACACACAACGAAGTATTTGCGTTTTTAAACCATTCCACGCCTGCATACTCCGTCCGCCCTGCCGCTATGTTGTGGAAACCCCGCTTTTTTTCGACAGTTAATAAGCAGTTGGGTGACAAGGAACGGGTGGCTGCTGCCCTGGAGAATCAGCACCTGATGGCGGTGGTTAACAAGTGCACGTCGACCGCCGCTGCGGCCGGGTCGCTCGATTCAATTCGATGACTGGATCGCTCGGGTTCGATTCGATGATTGCGTGCGTCGCTCGATTCGATTCGATGACTGGGTCGCTCGGTTCGATTCGATGATTGTAACGCTCGGGTTCGATTCGATGATTGCGTCGCTCGACTCGATTCGATGACTGGGTCACTAGGGTTCGATTCGATGATTGCGTCGTTCGATTCGATTCGATGATTGCGTCGCTCGACTCGATTCGATGATGACCTGATTAGGAGAAGTTACAAGCCGGTCCGTCGACGGTGGTGGTTGGGACACGAGTTATTTGGGTCTGCGAAGATAGACAGCTATTCCAAGAAAGACTAGACCCGTTCGAGAACATACAACAGTCGAAGGGCTTGTGCTGGAGTCTTTCGCATACTGCTGCGCGCACGCACCATCATTGATGTGGTAATGCCTTTGATTGGTATATGTATCATTACGTTTGTTTTTGTTTTTTGCGAGACAGGGAAAAAACAGATCGGTAGTGAGAGGAAATAACTTGAGTCTCGGTCTTGCCAAGATTTCATTTTAGAGGAGCCGGTAACAAACAAGACACCTTGCATTCGGTGCGCAAGCGCTTCGACCGCAAGAACTTATTTGCTGCAAGGCCGGACGTGTGCGGCTCGGGATTTCGGTGGGGGTGGTGCGGTGAATGTAGATGGGAAGCGGTAAGACCGCAAAAAGGGCACCTTCTTTCGATGACCGCCTCTGCCGGCATATTAAGGTAGTATATATTGCGTCTAAAATTGCGTGGTCTCTCCCAGAAGTTATAATCAATCGTCGTGAGGTTTGTGTGGCTGCATTTTTATTGGCTCTGGTTTTCTGATCCGATGTTAATATACTTCGTAGAAGCATAGCCGACTAAGTATCAGTTTTGTTCGCAACAGGAACCACAAACGTAAGGGGCGCACCGTAAAGCAAGGGGGGGGGGATTCGTACTCTTTATGTTTTGCGTGCCTTAGCGGTCAGACCATTGACCACGCGTCCTCGAGAGGACGGAGCATCGTTCCCACAGGACCGATCACCGATGGCCAATCGTTCCTTCCTACTTTGCCAAAGGTGTCTCAAGAATGTCGTCCGTAGTCTATCTATCCTATCGATATCACTCCTACCGTTATCACTTCCCGCCTTTTCACCCCACTTCCTATGCCCCAGAACAGCTAACGTCTTCTCCTGGCAGTAGTCTACGCAGCAAGGGGGGGGGGGGAGTCATACCATCGCAGAGTAGGGGAAGGCCGGCCACCCACAGGTATTAAAACGTCCCAATGGACTGGACAGATGAAGGTACTTGGTAGAGAGACCGGCACGGTTTTTAATGCGAAGACACCAACAACAAGGCACGGGATCTGAGTCAACATGCCCGGCTGCGTAGCGAGAGGGGCGAGGGGAAGGACCCCCTCGACGGCGTGGGGGTAGCGTGGACAAGGAGGAACGAACGGCGGTCGAAGAACCAGTTTGGTCCAAGAACCAGATTCTTCACCAGTTTCTTCGTCGCAACCAGTGTCTTCTGTAGGAAAAGGCAAAAAAATCCGTGTGCCCACGGCTGCTGCCCCACCTGAGTTTTTTTTTTTTTAAGGTGTCCCGCCCGGGATCTACGTACACGATTTAGTCGGTCTCTCGAAGGCCAAACATAGCCTTCCTTCACTTTCCGACAGGCCCTCAAGAGCATTTGGAGTGGGAACCAACCAGACCATGGGTTGTCCGAAACTGTTAAGTCTCAAATGGTTCCCACTTGTTAACACCTGCACATGCCCGCGAATGCGAACATCTCCACTCCAAAAAAAAAGAAACATGACCCGTGCTCAGCCTCTGGTTTATCCTCCAAACGTCGTCTATCAACGCCAAAAAAACGAAGACATGTGCGGCATTGTTGTGGTCCCTGCAGGAAAAACAGGCAAGCGTGGATTCCATTATTACGGGGCAATCTTGTAGTGCACGGGAAAATGAGCAGCAGAGTCGTAGCCGGGGTGTACATGAAAGAATGTGGTGTCCTCTTATCTCAACTCATCCTTTGGCGCCAAAGCACTCCCAGCCGGTACACGCACGTCTGAACACTATTGAGCGGAGGGCTAAAAGAAGTGTGAGAATTTGGTACGATAGGTTTTCTCGTTTCGATACAACAACAAGTCATCCGCTAGATCCTAGTACAGACATAGACCACAACATCAAACCCCAATGTGCTAGACCGCAGCAAACGCAAACGCCATTACCAAGGAGCAACAAGCGAGTCAAGAAGTCCTCGACCTGCCACTGTCATCGCCGACCCCACCCGGCCTCACACCCACGGAAAACCAGCCAGCGGCTTTGAAAAAATGCTCTGCCAAGACGGTTCGAAGCCCTATAAAATCGTCCACCTAGGCCAGCCAGTGTTTGGCCTGCATGTAATGGATGGGAACTTCCACGGACATGTCGACGTCCTGAACGGCAAAAATCTCCCACTCGTCGACGTCACCAACACGAGTTGTCTCGAACCGCCTTCTCGAGAATATGTGAAGTAGAGTCGTCACCAATACGACTTGTCCCGGACCGCCTTCGCGAGAATATGCCAAGTAGAGACGGGGGTTACATAACCCTTAACCCTACGACCCAAAAAACCTGTAACCCCTACTAAAAAATCAAGCTTTAAATATCCTCGCGAAGGGTATGTACTGCTGTTATTTTGCTCTACTTCTTCCCCGCCATCTGGGCGTTCTTCGTCATGCGGATTTTTGTCGGCGTGACTTCCACCAGCTCGTCCGCCTGCTCATTGACCGGGAAAACAAACGAAAAACACGGAAAGACACCGCGGGCAACCCGCGCGGACATCAACGAACGAGGGCATCACGGTACTGTGTAAATGTAAACATTGCGTCCCCCGATGCTGGAAAACGCACGATGGGAGTTGGTGTTGGAGAAGACGTCACCCAGGACACGCTGCGGCCACTGACGTGCTTGAACGCTCGAGTGTCTCACCATGCTTTTGAGCAAGATTGTGCAAAAGTTAGAACTTTGAACAAGTTAGGTTTCACTACTACTCACTACGCGTACCTGGATGTACTCCACCGCCATGTCCAGGTTGACTTCCATGGGCACCGTGACACTTTCGCTGATGCTCTTTGTCGCTGACCTAATGTTGTTAAGAGCTTTTGCCTGCGCACAAAAGAAAGTAGAAACATGTACCCCAGCAGGCGGCGCGCGTGTCACAGCCGCGAAAAATAGGAACTCAAGGCACAGCCGGTCCGGCCTTTTCCGGTTGTCGCAAAAGCATTGAAAAAAAAACCATGGCAACAGCAAAAGAAGCCACACGCACATGGCCCCCCCAAGTCCAACGGCAGGTTGTTGGGCTTGACGCGCTACATGTGTAGATACTTGCGGGATACAAAGTCTATTCCATTTTTTTTGCCTGTTGACCTCTCGGGGAAGACTCATGGGCCATTTCACGTGCCAGTTGAACTCAGATTCGAACATCCGACGAAAAAAGTAAGACTGTAAACAGATTCTGCTTAAGAGATTTTGTACAAACATATTTTTGGGTCGTTGAGTTGCGCTGGGCTCTACGAATCAAAAACACGCGCCAGCTGTGTGTGGCTGTCGAGCTTGGGAAACGTCGCAACGCAGCTGGCTGTCCGTTGCGAGCTGGTCCTGACTGCCTGATTTTATTTTTCATCTTGCGTCACCCCTTCGCGTGGTGGCACTGTGCTCTCGTGAGCCCACTCTGGAGGAATCACTTGCATCAATGAACAAGTTGTATCCAGGGTTGGTACTCGCTGTAGCAAGATGCTACCCTAACCGACACGTAGCGCCGATGCCAATCGAAGCGAGTTCGAGCGGGATACCACCCGGGCAACAAAAAAAAAACAAAAAAATAAATGCACCGTGTGTTGCGGCGTACATGGAGCTTCGTAGCCGGTTGGGGAAGCAATGGCCTCCCGGTCTATGGATGGCAGCATAGAATTGAGTCCTCGCATGCATGCACGCAAGCAGCAGCCGCCACAAATGTCATCGTGGCCAGCCCTCGTTTTTCCTTGGGTAGCGGCAAGCGTGAAGCTGTTATAGTAGTGGTACCAGGATAATGCCCGTAGGTGCCACCCCCTAGAGCCGGTATAGTAGCGGGCAATCGGCAATATTTTATTACATTACGCCTGTGCCACATGATTTCACCGGGATTTACAGGCCAGCCTTATTCAACCGGCAGTTCATCGGGAACCACTAAATACACCGTACAATTTTTAACGTTTTCCCGCTTGTGATCGCGCAGGAGCCGCGTCGCGCGTTCTCTGCATGGGCTTCTCTCGCCTGTGTTTTTCTGGCCCACGCGGCATGCACGCACGCACCTTACAAATGTTGACCCTCAGGTCCCCCGGGCGCTGATGCAACCCGATGATCATGTCGCGGTAGATCTCGTCCTTCGCCGACACCATCATCACCCCGCGGCTCTGAGCCCCAGCGATGCCGAACGGGGTCGCCACGCCGTTTTCGTGGGCGACCAGAGACCCCTTGTCTCGGGCCTCGATGTCACCTTTTCTCGCACAACCAAGGCGCGTGGTGAAGCGCAAAACAAATAGGGGAGGGAAAGGTTTTATCGCCTCGTGAAAGCTATGTATAGGTTTTCGACCATGTTTTTGCTGTTAAATCTATACCGTGATCAGAGAGACCCCTTGTCTCAGGCCTCGATGTCGCATTTTCTCGCACAACAAGGCGCGTGGTGAAGCAAAAAAAGGGGGGAGGAAAGGTTTTATCGCCTCGTGAGAGCTATGTAAGTATTCGACGATGTTTTTGCTGTTAAATCTATACCGTGATCAGAGAGACCCCTTGTCTCAGGCCTCGATGTCGCATTTTCTCGCACAACAAGGCGCGTGGTGAAACAAAAAAGGGGGAAGGAAAGGTTAAGGTTTTATCGCCTGATGAGAGCTATGTAAGTATTCGACCATGTTTTTGCTGTTAAATCTACCGTAGGCCACGACAAGGCGCATGATGAACAAAGGAGGAAAGGATTATCGAGTGATGAGAGAGAAAGCTTCAACCATGTTATGCTGCTAATCTACCGTAGGCGATGGCAAGGCGCATGACGAACAAGGGGGGAAACGTTTGTGCCTGGTCAAGATGCAAAAGCAGTCTGTAGCCTTGGGGAAGATATTTAATATTGGTTTTAATAGGGGTTTCGGGTTTGCGGTTGGGGGGTAGGGCTAGGGCTACAAAAGCCCCCCATTTTCAAATGTAACGACTAATACAAGACTCGCGAAGGCGGTCCAGATACTCAACGATATTTTGCAAAACTTAATCTTCCGTAGACCCAAGTTGGATCGCCAGTACACACAACGTCTCCCCGCCCCCCGCCCCCGCCCCCACTGCAAAAAAAAAATCACACACACGCCCGCCCCCTCACGAGGTCCCAGTTCATAGCAGATAGAGAAGTGTTTTGTGTTTTCAACCGCACTAAGACTGGCGTCTTTTCATTGGTCAGCCGGTTAGTCAACGCGGTCGATGCCAATAATAAAGACACACACACACACACACCATTTTGCCACATACCTGCGTAAGGTCTGTAGGAGTCGAAAATCGTGTCCATGACCGCGGTGCCTCGTGTCGCCGTGAGCATGCTGTTGCGGAGGCCGATCATGCCCCGGGTCGGGACGAGGTACTCGATGTTGGTCATCTGGGCGTCCCCGCCGGTCTCAACGGGCGTCATGTTGAGCATTTCCCCCTTCCGCCTCGAGAGCAGGTCGACGACTGCGCCGGTGTATTCGTCCGGCACCTGGGGAACGCGCAGGCGATGCGGCGGCCAGAAAGGAGACACGCAACGTTGTCTCGCCCATTCGTGACGTGTTGCATCGAACGTGTGCAGCAGAGTACACGGCCAGAGAGGAGACACGCAACGTTGTCTTGCCGATTCGTGTCGTGTTGCATCGAACGTGTGCAGTAGGGTACATTGTGCTGCGATAGCAGAGCTCGAGATTCGGAGGCTGATCTCCTGTTTAGGCCTGAGAAACGCAACCATGCGGTCAGAGAGGAGACATGCAACATTGCTTGCCGGTTCGTGTCGTGTTGCATCGAACGTGTGCAGTAGGGTACATTGTGCTGCGATAGCAGAGCTCGAGATTCGGAGGCTGATCTCCTGTTTAGGCCTGAGAAACGCAACCATGCGGTCAGAGAGGAGACATGCAACATTGTTTGCCGGTTCGTGTCGTGTTGCATAGAACGTGTGCAGTAGAGTACATTGCACTGCGATAGCAGAGCTCGAGGTGTCGGGGGCACAGCTGATCTCCTATTTAGGCCTGAGAAACGCAACCATGCGGCCAGAGGAGACATCAACGGCGGTTTTCGAATCGTGTCCTGCTGCATCGCACATGCAGACTCTATGTAGACTATATGGTGTTCCGTAAACTGAACAGTAAAACTTCTTTCCAAAACTAAAAAAAAGCACCCATTTTCTCATCTTGCAACGTCAGAGCTCGAGGTTCGGTGGCTCGACTTACTCCCAAAATTTGGGTATTGTACGCGAAAAAAACTGCGAAGGCTACTGCCCAACGCCTTGCGCGCCCACCTGCACCTTTTTACCGTCTCGAACGGCTCATGGCAAAAAAAAAACATTAATTTGAAAACAAACAAATGGAGCAACGCCGGGCAAAACCCAGGGCATGTAGACCAAGGACCATGGCATAAACCCACAGCCGCAGCAGCAGCAGCAGCAGCAGTAGCAGCATGCACCGTACGGCAGCTTGCACAACATGTCACACGCCTTGGTGCGATGTTCAAAGCTCGATCGACTACTCGGCAGGCAAAAACAGCAGTGACGGCGCCGAAAACATAATCGGGATTGACTCTTGGTAAATCCTCTTCGTCGTGGAGTTTGATTATCGGCCCTGGGGGGGGAGAGGGTGATATCTTACGCAATTTTCCTCGCAGGAGCCCCGCGGCTGGCTCGTGGGCAGCACCGCAACCCATGGACAGGCCACACGTGCTTACCTGCACCTCCACCGTCTCGAAAGGCTCGTGAGTGCTGCCGTCCACTTGCTTTGTGATGACCGTGGGGGGACCAACAAGCAGCTCGAAGCCCTCTCGGCGCATGTTCTCGATAAGCACGGTCAGGTGCAGCTGCCCGCGGCCGCTGACCTGATGGAATTTCGTCGGCAAACGTTGTGGGTGTATTTGTTGAACCAGGGACGTGCAAAACGCGCCCCTTTAGAGAAAATAGCGGTTGACAAATATTCAGCCTCAAAAATCCAAAATCCAAGAACTTGGCTACAGGAAACACATGTGCTCGGTTTGAGGCAAACCAAGATACCGTAAATGACACAAGATAACACACCCCCTGGACCAATTTTCAAATCTCGATTTCTCAACAGCAGAAAGAGCCACAGCGCCGAAAACGGTGGCGCTGAAGCTGTCTCGCCAAGAGCTTTACGAAAATGTATCGTTTCATTTTTATGCATCCTCTTCGTCGTGGCGTAATCGAGCATAGCAAATTGGTCCATGGGGTGTGTTATCTTGTGTCATATACGGTATTTACCAATCTTTAAGTCTACCGTCTTCTGTGGTGGCCGAAGAAGGCATGGACACGGCACTCGAATCAAAATTTTCAGCACGAAGGTCGGGGGTGGAAAAGCGGTGGTCAGGTACAGGCGTGGTGTTTTGGAATCGTTGCTCGTTCCGTTACCCCCTTATTTTATGTAACATAATAAATCCATCTCTATCCATGAACGTACGGTTCTAAATAGGATTGGTGACGGATCCAAGCGCTAGCCGAGCACCGCCTTTCTTTCTTCGATTCCCCAACCAGCATACATATCTTCTAGTTTCACAAGGCGCGCGTCCGGAGTGAGCCGGCTCATCAGAGCATGGTGCAGTAGTGCCACCAACGCGTGATGGCAAGATGAAAGCAAGGCATGTGTTGGTGTTAATCAGCTGCCAGCTGTCATCGGTCTGGCCGCTGTGCGCTGCTGTTGATGTCGCCATCCCCACTTCACCAACGACTTTTGCTCCCACGAGGAGGTGGATAGCTACATCGCGTTTTCCCGCAGTGAGTTAGTTGTAACGAATCGAGGTAAGATAGTCCACAGGGACCAGCGACCTACCAGAATGTTTTCTAAAGGAGTATAGTGAGAAACGGTTGCTTTGGTCGCTCTCCTCTACGGAGGGGGGGCGTCAACAACGCCCGATGATTATTTAGCGCCCATGGCCCTGTGTAGCATTGGTGAAAACTGCTGGGCGCCCATTGAATCACAAGCTCGTTACGTAAATTGAACAGCGCCGGTCCCCGTGAATAGCACCGGTCGATGCGCCGGGGGCACATACCGGCGTTGAGGGCCCACTACTGTACCTGTGTTTCTACGACGCCCCCAAACAGCGTATGCACATATCTTCTAGTTTAATCTCTCTTATCAGTACCTCGTAGGCGTCCGAAGAATCCGTCTCCTCGACGCGTAACGCTACGTTGCGGTCCAGCTCCTTCATGAGCCGATCCCGGATCATTCGCGTTGTGAGGAACTTGCCCTCCCTGCCGGCCAGGGGCGACTTGTTCACCCCGAAGGTCATCCGGACGGTGGGCTCCTCCACCGCGATGGGCACCATCGGCTGCGAGCGGGAACATCGAACGGGGGACATCCGAGAACGGAAAATCGAGAGTGGGAACATCGAACGGGAACATCGAGAACGGCAAAATTCGAACGGGAACATTGAACGGGAACATACGTCTTGAGCACGCTACAGCAGTTACACCGTCCACGTGCCCGAGGCAAGCGACATGGGTACCCTGGGGCACCGATGGACCGATGGGCACCATCGGCTGCTGCCAGCGGGAACATTTGAACGGGAACATGGAACGGGCACAAAACGTCTTGAGCACACTACAGTTGAGGGAACTTGGCCACTAGAGCAGATGCTCAGTTCAGAACCCTATACTTAAAACACCCATATATTATAGTCGATTTTGGGCTAATCACCCCCACGGACGGAAAAAAAAAAAAAACAAGCCCGGGACGCAACAAGAGTTCATTTTTTTTTTTTTTTTCATCTTCGAGGAGCGGCGCGTTCTGCAGATTTACAGCTCGAGAAGAAGAGCTCACGTTGGGGTTGGCCGGGTCTAGGATGGTGTCTCCGATCCCGATTTGGGCAAGACCGGCGACCATGACGATGTCCCCGGCGTGCGCCTCCTCCACGGCCTGCCCGGAAAGAAACAAAAAAAAAAATGCGGCGAAACAGC